TATTACGTTCAACGCCTCGAGGAATATCGGGTATTCTGTGGAGTGAATGTGGCCAGACTTTTATGCTTGCATCTTGTGTTCTATTTATGTTAAATTATTGGAATTAATGTAATTTATTATCGTGAAAAGAAAGGGCTGTTTAACATCGCCTCCAGCGAATAACAAATATTGTGAGGTGAGGATATGATGTCTGGAGAGTAAAGCGGCCCATAGACGATCAATATTATTGCACAATATTTTGGGTTGTGCAATTTAATTGATCGTGTGTAGACGATATTGAAAGTTTGTGCAATACATTGCATGATTGACGAAAAGTTGAAAATATTTTGTACCACCTGGAAATTATTGCACCGTCTGTTGGCATTATTGTGCAATATCAGTCAGTTTGTAAAGTATCAAAATATTGCACAAATTTCAATATCGCCTTCAAACTATTCAAGTTCATTGCACAAACAAAATTTTGTACAATATTATTGAACGTTAAGAGGCAACCGTCAAATTATTGTGCAATCTATATTGTACAATAATATTGACCGTCTATGGGTCGCTTTAGAATAAGTTATTAGTGAGAATGGAGTGGCTTCACACCCGCCCCATGGAATATCGAGTACTCCGGGAAGTGAATATGACCAAACCTCTATGTAACAACCTGAGGTACAAATGAATTAAAAGCATTTTAGGATATCGACTTACTTTTCTTATAAAAGCACAGAGACAGTAACAGAATGAGATGCTCAAATGGCCCAAGCGGCAAGAACAAATATTAGTAATTTTCAAGGTTTATTAATATCTATTTACAATACTGATACTAAGGCTTAAACCATAAACAATTAGTAACTAAATTTATCAGAAACACAATTGCCTTATCCCTGATTTTTAATATGACATTTTAATATTGAAAGCAGATATTAATTTGTTGAAGTCTTGAAGAGCGGTCAAAAATCAGGTTTAGAAAAACATATTTTTAATTTTTTTTGCCTGACTTTTCGACCTTTATTCGGATCTTCTTCAGGGCATAAAGTGTGGTGCTATTCTTGTAGTGTAATATTGGTTTTGTGCGAGTGTTGTGGAAATGTGTGTTTCTTTTGTACAATTTCACAACACTTTCACATAAAGCCAATATGAATACATGACCACAAGAATAGCACCAAACTTTGTCCAGACGATGAGCCGAAAAAGGTCGAAACGTCGAAAAAAAAATGACAAGGTGATTTTTTAAACTAATCTATTCTTGACCGCTCCTCATGACTTCAAACAAATTATGAAACAACAGGACACTAAGAAACATACACGCTGATATTAATTATACGGGTGTATTACAAGTATACGACAATATTCTAGGCAGGTAAACTAGACCACAAATGTAGTCAAATGCCGCCAATCTCACATTTCTATTTCAACCCGTTCCAGTCATATACCGTTTTAAAAGATTTTTTCGAGAAAACCAGGTTTTTTTTGTAATAAAAGCTCAATTTTCGTTACTTTTACATACTTTTTCATGTTTGACCATATTTTTGGAATTAACGTTAAGTGTTCTAAGGCTAATGGAATTTCAATGTTGACGAAAATTTTATTCAGACCGCAATAAATGCTGTTCAGAAGCAATACAAATTACAATAAAATTAAACATAGATTTTTATTTATTATAAAAGTTGGTAGATTTGGCTTCCTCCTTGCAAAACACACTGTCGACATCTGGTAAGCAGGCTGATGTAGAATCTAATCTCTTCATTTTTGTCTCTCATCTCTTCGACTCTAAATTCTCATGTGTCTTGTAGGCTTAAGTCGGAAGTGTAAGGGCATTTAGGACAGAATCCACCTGATTGCAAGGATTCGGCCATGTGAAGATATGACAGCCAATAAAGAATAGATTATATTTTATTGTTTTGTTTTAAATTTTCTTTCCAGATTTTTTTTCGTATAAAACATTCTCTTTTTTTCATCTGTGAATATTCATGGGAAACATTATTCTTCCGGCCTGCGTACAATCTTTGGTCATTCCATTAATTTCCCTTGGTACAGATTGTCCATTGTGTACAGTCGGAAGCGTTATCTCTGTCAAGAGATGTATGTTGAATGCTTCCGACAAGATAGATTATCTCTGGCTAACAAGAGCAATTATCTGACGGGGGCGGCTGGGGAAACAAAATAAAAATATACGCGTAACTTCAAGACAATTGATTTGCCGATAAATCTTTCATTATCTCGGTAAATTGAGGCTCAAAACTGATTTATATGATACATACATAATACTTTATATGTTCGACCTGCCATGAGTAGAAATTGAGTTGATTCTTATTCTGAATACCCTTCAAAACCAGTTTTTGAAAATAAATAAGTAAACAGAACATAATACAATGTTTATCTGAATTATTAACATTGAAATTATAATAGAAATTATTGTTTTAACTGCAACACTGCGGCAATTTTTAAATTTTCCAGCGGACTAAATTTCTTGCAATTTTTTTTCATGTTTTCATGTACGAAATAGTGCTCATCCCCAGGAACTTCTTCAATCAGCTATATATCTAGTACCGCCTCGTTACCTGCTTTATTGGCGAGATCTAATTTCCAAAATATCACAATTTGAGAATGATGTTTAATATCTTACAATATGTCATGAAAGATGTAATTATCAGTAAACTAATTATACAGGGCTTGAGGGCAGAAAGTGAGTGGCTAACAATTAACTCATCGCTGAAGGGTTTGGTTAAATATATAAAGCGGTTTTATATATATTTCCGGCTGTTTTATTACGGTTTTTTATATTTAACTGCTTCCCGTTTTATTGCTGATAACTTTACATTGATGTTTCGGGAATTGTCCGAATAAAACACTTTGACTGGTACAAAAGCGAGAAAATCCAACTGAAATTGCAAATAAGCTTCAAAATAATTTATTTTCGTTTAAACTGTTATTTATTAAACTGTTGGTAATTTATAAATAGACCAGACTACTGAAGATGGCCTGAGGCCAAAATCATCAGTCCTAGGTGACAATACGTGCATCCAGGGGTCGTCAGATTCAATGCATAGTCTTTAAATAAAATTTTGAAATAGCAAAAAGGTATTTTGGCCTATTTAGGAAGAGGTAGAACCTTACTTTTAATTATCATTAAAAATCAAATAGCATTAATCATTATATAAGGTTAATAGTTTATATCTTGTGGGGACGTTTTAGCTTCTTTTGTGCCGAAAATATATTACTTCTTTTTTATTTAGCGTATTATTTACATTAATATAATGTAAGTAACCAAAATTTGGAGGTATCTAACTAAATAAAAAACACCGCGTGGTACTTTATAACGACAATTCTCAAGATAGAGGTCTATTTGTTGACTGTTTTTTTTTTCCTTTCTTGACGTGAACTCAGCTTTTTGATCGAATTTGGTTCCTGGGTTTTCTGTTCATGCTCATGGGCATTTTTCACACTCATACTTCATAGCTTCATCAGTAGGCTGTTTTTCCGAATAATTGAAGGCAAATACCTCGCTGTATTATATCCTATCTGTATTGATGTTTTTCAGGGTAGCATTCTGGGCCCCACACTTGCCGGGTATATACAGCTGACATCCTACAAATACATCCTGTAGGAGCTGTTCATCCTCAATACAACATTGATCTTAGCAAACGATACAGGATCCTCTCAAGCAACTCTGATCCTGTCGTTTCCACTCGATACCGTCAAGAAGACCACACAATAGAATTTAAGGCAGAAAAATCCTCTTTCAGCAAAAAGGTCGCTCCTCCAGTTTACTTGGATAGTCTCAATCTCCCAAAAGTATCTATGGGTAACTACCGACTTTACATTCACAAACGTTTGGCATTGAATCCCCCGACTAAAACGTGAAGAACGTCACGATGGAAGGTTCTTTCTAGATTTTTTGATATGGACTTACGGACAGAAAACGTGGGTTCAACCAAACATTCCAATATCCGAGAAGATAATGTACATGGAGGTATCGTCCACCGAATATTGGCTGTTACGTAGTAACAGTCATAGTTTAATAAATCAATATATTATATAATAACATGCGGCTAGAAAATGTGGTTTGGTTACAAACTATAAGAGCCCTAATGGAGGTCTAATAAAGGCTTGGCAATTACGTAATAAAAACGAATTGATGGCAACACCTCCAATACTACCAACAACTTCAATGTCTTCCGCATCCAAACTGCCCAGTCCTTGATCATAAGAAAACGCCTCGTTGTTTTATTTTAAATGCCTAACAAAACTACCCATATAGCCGTAAATGTTGCTTTGGTCCAAGATGTAATTCGCAAGTTTCATTTAAAAAAACCTTCCAACCATCATAAATCCTAAAATCCAGAAACCTGATGAATTCCGTCAAACCCTCCTCGCCGACCATACAGGCGATGGGTGCGGGATCTCCTATCCAGCGACAGCCACATTGATGGAGACACCGGTCGTGTTTTATGTTGAATATTTAAAAAAAGATGAAATTTTTGTTTATTAAATTAAAAAACCTGGTCTTTAAATTTATAATCTTTTTTAGTGAAGAATAAATTCTTGTTCTTCATAGACAGAATAAGATGAGTTCTTTAAATTTACTAAACTGTTATAGATTCAACATGTTTTACGAAGTTCCATATTATTCACATTTTTACAGTCCAAAGTCACAACAATTTTAGATTAATATAATTTTTTTATGATAGGAAATACTAAAAAAGTTGTGCAGTTTAGTATTGGGAAAACCTAAAATTTGACTTAGATATTTAAAGTGCAATTTAATTGTTGATCAATTTTAAATTCGTGATTTATGTAGGATGAAAGAGCAAAAATCGGCCGACCGGATGCAGTTGGTAATAAGATGATGTTTGGCTAATTGGTCGAGTATGTTAATTAAGAATACAAAAATTACATGCTTAGTAAAAAGAGATTTTGTTTTTTATACATTTTCTTGTTATACGTTTTACATTGAAAAATATATTTAATCAAATTATTCTGTTATATTTATGGTTGTTTTGTTTCTGTTTCAGGTAGCGATTAAAATTATAGACAAATCACAACTCGATCCCGTCAACTTGCAGAAAGTATACAGGGAAGTAGATATAATGAAACAGCTAGATCATCCCCACATAATTAAGCTTTTCCAGGTGAGAATTATATATATTCTAAGTAGATTTTTACTTTAGGTAGAGCAGCGGCGTATTTAGCCGAAAGTCGTGGGTTCGAATACCGCCTGTGACACCGATTTTTCATTTCGAAAAAATGTGTATAATTAATGATTTATACAATTAAGCATTAGCTGATAAAATAATTAAAAGATAGTATTAATCTAGATCACACAAGTGAATCGTACACAGTCCCGCTAATGTAGTACAATCGTTAATAAAAAGTGTTTCTATATGAAGCCGCGATTTGCTTACAATTGGAATAAAACAGGGAGTCGCAATGAGAAGATAGTGGCATGGGCGATCGAAGTCACGGTAGCTCAAGTGGTAGAGCATCGGCGTATTTAGTCAGAAGTCGTGGGTTCGAATCCCGCCTATGACGCAGATTTTTCATTTCGAAAAAATTATGTGTAATTAATTGAGTATATAGATTTTTGTTTTTAATTTTGTTATCTGCTTGAGAAATGTTCGTCGGAAAGACTAGTTTTTTATCCATTTTATCAATGCTGACAATAGGGACAAACAATCTAGAGGGTTATTAGCTCTTCGGCGGAGTACGGCTGATTGGCCCCATTGTGAAGCTTCGTTAAAAACCGAGTCAATTTGACCGGTCCGTTGTTAGTTGGACTTGTGACGCAAGTGGGCTAATTCCTGTTGTTACTCCGGAGGTTAAATCAAACGGTTGATTGAGAATATCCGCCGTGAGCGTCGGTGAGGAGATCCGGTCCTTGCCCGTTTCCAACTTCATTTGCTTTGGTAGTCTACATGAAATTTGGTTTCTAGATTTTCACATGATGAAGACAGATATGCGCTGACGTCTATGAAAATAACACGTTGTAGATCTATCTTGTGGTCACGTTTAGAAAAATTAAACAACATTTGTACTATATACAATTTTTATTAATTCAACCCACCGACAACGGTTGGAATAAAAAACTGGCTATCTGAGTTAATTCACAAAGGATCAAGTTTAAACCTTGAAGTGTGAAATAAAATTCTCTTTTTTAAATGTATTTATTCATTTATTTTCTACATGAACCATTCATTATTTATTAAATTTAATTTAAAATTAATTATGATTGTGCTGGGTGTTCGGCTACTCGTGTTACAAAGTTGATTCAACATTCAAAATGGGAGCAAAAAGTCCTAATTGCCTATGGCCCGAATCTCAGCAGTTTCGGAGTTACTCCACTTTTTCTGATTTTTGAAGGTTTCACGACCTTGCTTCAATGATAACACCAAAACCAAAAGGTTGTGGACAAACCCGTTGATACCATTGAAAACCACGTTAAATTTCCAATATGATGTGATCTATACTAAACTTGTAAACGTTCGTGAAATAAGCGTTTTAGTAGTAAGAACTTTGAAAAAAAAATTGTTGTTTCAAAGTTGATGAAAAACATGCTTTGGTGATTTTAATCTACTATTTCCAAACTTAGAAACCTGCAAATTTCAGCAAACGTACTCCATTTAATATCATTTTTAGTGATGCAACCCCTCACATAACAAAATAAAATTTAGATTTTACTTTAGTATCTTACAATTAAGGTTTTCAGTCGAGATAAAAAAGTCAATGGCACGAGCGGGATTCGAACCCACGATCTTTGGCTTAATATGCCGCTGCTCTACCAGATCCACTCGGACACCAACTTCCCATCTCTATCACACCTTTTTGAATTTTCCCTCCTTTTTGCCATTTTTCAAATGTCGTGTAATCTGTTTGATTCTCGGCGACAAATGAAATAGCCACGGAGAGTGAAGGTATACTTCATTTTAAACTTATTAAATTCACTAGTTTCGAGGTCCGCTTGACCAATTAATATCTTACAATTAATTAAGGTTTTCAGTTGAGATAAAAAAGTCAATGGCACGAGCGGGCAGCTCAAGTGGTAGAGCGGCGGTGTATCAAGCCGAAGAAATTTTTTATCTCAACTGAAAACCTTAATTAATTGTAAGGTATTAATTGGTCAAGTGGACCACGAAACTAGTGAATTTAATTTTACTTTAGATTATACTAAGATTTTTTTCAAGCCAGTTGATGAAGTTTGTCTCAAACAGTTTCCTCATACATTGATTAACTTCTTTTACGTAATATACTAGATCTGAGGGTAGAGTTAATTAAAGCGCCAGCATTAAAGCAGAGAAACTAACGGCAGAACTACTAAATGCTGCAGGTGTGAGGACTATCACATTAGCAGAACTGCGCACTCCAGAGGCATATCTGTAGGCTCGGGACTGCGGGAAACAAGCCTGTGCAGATACTCCAGGAACGTCTCCTCCGAAATCCTATGCACGCTCAGATTCCTAGAGAGAGAGAAAAACCACGGCCTGAAGGCTTACGAGAGCTCTTAACAAAGCTGTGGGATCTAATATAAATCCTTAAACTTATCGAAGAGTAAGAATTACCTTTTGAAAAGATGAACAAACGTACTCAACTCACTTCATTTCTGTAAACCAATGTTGGTCTCGGTGAGTAAGAGGCTGTTTCCTTTTGTCCTTAAACATCATACAATATCGAAACTTATTCCTAACAATATAAAATTTAAAAGCGCGTCTCTTGTGATATCGTTACATAAAGAGTAATTTTTGCACTTAAAAATTGCATCATATCAAATCTCATAGATTTGAGAAAGAATTAAGCTTTAGTAGGCTTATATTTGAAATGTTCTGTTTTCTATAAATATAATATTTAATAAGCACGCTATATAACAGGATTTTTAGTCTTTTAAATTTAATAAGGTTAAAAAACAAAACACGATGGTTAGTATGAATCGCAGGTGGACTTTGATGGTTTTACCTTGCTAAGAGTGAATTGTTGCACTTCAACTCAACCTTGTGATATTGTGAATCCTTAGCATGCAAATCGTACATTTCTTTGTTCAATTCTGGGTGACGGTCGTTTGTTTTATCTCTCTAGGGTTTTTGAACGGTTTGTGTTTTCTGTATGCTAATTTTGCATGGCAGATATGCTCGGAAAAACAATTGATTTGCATTTAGTCTAACCTTCTATATCAATGTGCTGTTTCTGTGTAAAAAAATGTTTCAGAATTTTGTATGTTATTTGTCTCCCGTCTTTTTTGTTAATAAACACAAGTAGTTTTTGTGATACTCCAAGATGGATATTTTTTCTTTTTTCCATGGATACCAGTTCCCTCCTGAGCACTGCAGCTGTACAGCTTATTGTACTTTATCCCCGGCTCCATTTTTTGGGGGGCTCGCAACACAACTGTGAATTTGAGCCCCCAGTGTGCCCGTGTTCTTCCATCGAAGAAACTCATTTTTGAAGGGGGTTGGGACCAAATTCAGGGTCGCTGAGATCCGATTCCGCCGTTTCCATTGATGAGTGCCGTGTCAATTTCTTTCAATTGCGGCCACCGGTCCCCTTAGGCGTCAGAAAAAAGTCCGGAGGCGACGTGAAGCTCGAACCCACGACAGCGGGATCTATTAGCCGAGAGTCTGACGCCTTAACCACGCGGCAACCCCCCCCCCAAAGATGGATATACATTGTTGTTGCGTTGTTTGTTTTTTATTGAAATTTGCGGACAACTCTTGATTTATGAATACGATTTTGAATCGTAAACAGAGACTACCATCAGGAGAGTTCTATTGTTTATCGCTGTTAATAAACGGGGGAATTCCTTTCCCAGACATTAGGCTTACGTAGATAGATACATTATCGGTTGGCGTGAAGCCGAGGCGTCTGGCAAGGAAAAGCCCCGCTAGACTAATCGGACACAAGAACGATCAGAAAGCGTTGAAAAACAAGTCAATTAATTTAAAAAAATACTTAGGTTTTTTACGTTTGTTTTCGTTACGGGCTAACGATCGAGGTGCAATTTCCCCGAGTATTTTTACTTTTTGGGGGAAATTTTTTTGAAATCTTGGTTTATTTTATAGCCTCTTTTTAAACTGTTAAACTGGGTCAGTGCAGCAAGGTGAAATAGATCACAATTTGAAGGAAATTGATGGAAGTGATGATAACCACCTAAATTGGCCATTCAGATTTTATGTCATCTTCAGCTGAACGAGTTTTCTTACTTACTGGAACAATTTAGGATATGACTGGGGTAATATCAGCATTAGAAATGTGAGTGCCACTCTCAACACGACAGACAAGAATGACACATCTACACGGAAAACAAACACTTTGCGCCCTGAAGATGATCTCAATAACGATCGAAACGTTGGCCCGATAAAGTAAATGTTTTTCTAAAATGTAAATCACACCAGACCGCATCTCACGACCTCGAAATAATAATTAGAATTATAATGGATCCTGTCTAAATGTTATTGCGTTTTATTGTTGTGGGTCAGGGTATAACAAGTAAGAACGAACCTATTTTTTCCCTAGAGTTATTTTGTTGGAATTTATTTTGATGTATGCTCGAGCAACTGCAGTTTTATGTCATCCTGGTCCTCCTATTTTTGCTTTATCCGTTAGGTCAGACGCACGTTTCTGATTTTCGCCATTCTCTCTCTCCTCTCTCACTCTCTCTCTCCCTCTCCCTCTCTCTCTTTCTCTCTCTTTCTCTCTCTTTCTCTCTCTCCCTCCCTCCCTCTCCCTCTTTCTCCCTCCCTCTCCCACACCCTCTCTCTCTTCNTATATCTGCATGTTCCCTGAAATCTAATTCCCCTTGGCTAATTTAAATTGTAGAAAGGTTAATATACTGGAGTTAACTTAGATTTATCACTATAGCGAAGTTCAAGCAATCTGATATGCCGTATAATTGAGTGAACACGAATTTATACGATCATTCATAATTTATTCCTTCTAATGTAATAATTACGGTGTTTAGCGAAAACCCGAATTTCTCATTGAAATCATTACAGATCACGGTGTGTTAATCCTTCTGTAAATCGGAAATAAGCGTGCTTTGCTGAACACATCTTGTTGGCTACGGTTTGGGATTATAAAAATCTTATTATAGACCTTATATATTAGTTTAATTAGTTTTAAAATTTTATCAATTATAGTGTCAATA